TGGACAACTTGTCGAATTTAAGGTACCTCAGTTTAAATGGTCTTTATCTTCGTTCACTTACAATTAGCCCGAACTACCATACAATACATACTGTATTTAAAAACTTTTCAGCTGTATGATTTCAGGACAGACCAGTCACTCTGTTAGGAACATTACAGCTTTTTGGTTGCGGGTTTTAGCTTTGCTGCTGCTATTAACAGTAATGGCACATTAGCGCAGACAAAGGGCTGCATGAGACGAACTACGTCTAGCTTGGCGGTTACAGGTCTTTGACGTTCATTGGCGTGGGAAACGGCGGTTCTACTGCTAAACCACTATCGAAAAGACCACAAAAGCTGCGCCGGTTAAAATAGAAGCGTCAGGTTTTAAATAATAATGTTTTGGCTATCGGTCTGGGTCCATATAGGACAACTTCTGGGTCTGGACTCCAACCGCGGTCCGCCTGTTAGTGACCTCTGTTCTAGGTCATCTTTTTTTCAAGCTGGTTGGTTCGACTTTTAAGAAATTTGAGATCTAATGAGTTCGAAAACTGAAGCCAACGCAGGGAACTAAGAACAGGGGTTATGTGTTCAAACTTCCTGCTCTTGATGACAATTCAAGCTGCTGATTTGAATATGCTGCAAAGTATTTAGTGTGCAGTGCGTGCTTCCAGATAATAGAGCATTGCAGTAGTATAACCAACTGTATACAAAGGCATGTATCAATTTCTCTGTGTCTGGAATAGTAAGAAATCGTCACAATTTGGCGTAGCTGTAGGAAGCATGCCTTCGATATTGCATTTACATGGGATCCGAATGAGAGGCTTGTATTTATGATGACACCTAGGTTATGGGCTCAGCTGCTGAGGGAAAGTGGAGGGCGGAGATTATAAAATTCCCATCTGCAGACCTGCCTTCAAACAACAAAACCTCAGTTTTCTGAGCATTTAGTGATAAGCAGTTTTCTGCCATCCAGGTTTTAACTTCGTTAAAGCAATTAACTAAGGTGACAATAGATGTGGTGTCGTTAGGTATAACCAAAATGTATATTTGGGCCTTGCTCAAGGACCTGCAGATGTTCTGAGGCAGGGTTTGAACCAACAACCTTCTGATTACGGGTAGACAGGCTTAGCCCACTGAGCCACACACTGCCATTTCTTTAATAATGGCCTGATTACTGATACTTTAAGTTGGTCAGGGACATGGTCCAATAACACGGACACATCCATTATGGCAGTTATAGGTCTTGCCAGAACTCCCAGGGAATTTTTAAGAAGTTTAGTGGGGATTGGATCCAGTGGACAAGTGGTTGGTTTGATCTTCTTAATTAATTTATTTATTTTTAACTTTTTTGGTAGGTTTGATCTTAATTTATAATAGCTTTTTCTTGTTCATGAATTAATTCAAAATCATTAAGAGTGTATTCACGAACCATTTGCATTGAAGTTAGTTGTGAGCCATTGGAACATGTTTGAAGTCAAATGTTTCTAATTTTATCATTAAAGAAGTTTATAAAATGTCGGCTACTGAAATTACTTGATAGCAGAGGTTCAGCCTTATTTGTTGGATTAGCTATTGTTTTAACAAGGTAGCGAGTGTTTTTATGTATTTTTATTACAATCAATAAGGTTAGAATAATAGGCTGAATGTGCCCCACGAAGGGCTAGTTTGTATTGTTGCAGGCTGTCAGACCAGCCAACTTGAACACTTCTAAGCCTGTGGATTTCCATTTGTGCTTCAATCTGCGGCACTCCTGTTTGCAAGAGCGTGTGATCATTAACCCATGGGGAGTATCAGGTGGTTTTTACCACTTTATATTTCAAAGGAGCTGTTTCATCTAAAATCTGACTAACCACTGTAGTGAAGTCATGGGTGACTTCATTTACAAATGTCCTAGACAAGAAGTTCACATTACTTACCACGTTAATAAATCGTAGGGAATTTCTATCATTTAGGTGACATGTCCTAATAATCTTCTCAGCCATAGTCAAAGAGAGTGGCTTAATCATGAAGGCGATTATAAAATGGTTGGAGAAGGACTTATTCAATGGACAGACAGATACATGATGAGCAGAAACTATGAGTAATAATCAAGTCTAGTGTGTGATTGAGTCCAGGAGGGACAGGAGACTTTTGCTGAAGGCATCAGTCCAGATGTATATTGAAGTCTCCAAGTGTTATAATATTGTCTAAGTTAATCATTAATTAATACATATAATTATTAAGTCAGAGAGAAGTTCCCTGAATTCTGTCAGAAATGAAGTGTATGATCCCGGTTGTCTGTAAACTATAAGAAAATAGATGGGCGCGTCGGACACCATGTGGATTAGCATTGCTTCAAATGTTATAAAATCTTTGATAATCTTGGGTTCAATTTTTAACACCGAGTTAAAAATAGCTGCCAGGCTGCCTCCATGCCCAGAACCACGTGGTGTCTGTACAAAACGAAACCCATCAGGTGAGGCTTGAACAAGAGGTACAATGTCTATGGGTCTGAGTCAGGTTTCAGTTAAAAACACAGGCCTGCACCAGTGTCCAGCACCATATCATTAACGAGAAGTGATTTACTTCCTAAAGAGCTAATGTTCAATAGTGCACATTTTATGATGGATTTATGTTGTGACTCATTCAGTCTTATTAATGGAATTGGTGTCTGCACAGGAGACCGCAGTGGAACGTTTAGATCTAAGTCTTGGTTTAATAATACTTACAAAATTCTTTCTATGCTCACTCAATGAAAACTGTGAGTGATACACAAACCACCGTTTATTGTGAATGATATTTTAGTGCCACCCAGTGGTCACTTTGCTTATACTTATATGGAGTAGGCCCAATACTTATTCTACAGTATATGGGCACATCACTGCCAAGGACTACTAAACCATTCCGGAAAACCATGTTCACCCAATAGTTCAAACATTGTACCCTGAAGGTGGTGCTGTGTATCAGGATGACAATGCACCAAAACACACAGCAAGACTGGCGACAGCATGGTTTGATGAACAAGAAAATTAAGTTGAACATCTACCATGACCTGCACAGTCATCAGTTGTGAATATTATTGAGCCACTTTGGGCTGTTTTGGAGGAGCGAGTCAGGAAACATTTTCCTCCACTAGAATCACGTAGTGACCTGGCCACTGTTCTGGAAGAGGAATGGCTCAAAATCCTTCTGGCCACTATGCAGGACTTGTATCTGTCATTCCCAAGACAAATCCGTGCTGTATTGGCCACAGAAGTAGGCACTACCCCATACTAATAAATTATTGTGTTCTAAAACCAGATGTATCAGTTTCATTGTCCAGCTCCTGTAAGTTATTTATTTATTTTTATATTAACTTTTATTGAGAAAGCACATATTATATTACAGTAACATAGCTGTTGACATTGCCTTTGCTTTCAACATTTTAACCTTCCTACTAAAAAGATAGAAGAAAAAAAAAACACACTGAAACTTGGGTGGAGGTGGCAGGGTTGCCGGGTTACAATCACATCATTGAGATGAGAGTTCAAATCAGTGCACCAACATATGGAGCAGCAGGATTTATAGAAAATCAGACCTAACAGGTTTAACAAATTCCGTCCACTTAGTTCATAATTTGTAAAAGGTATCCCTCTGCACTTTGAAAGAGAAAGACAGTTTTTCCATTATACCATTATACGGACCAGTGCTAAAATCATATGTTTTCCCCGAATTACGGAGAAAACAATATCTCCACCAGTTTCCTTCTCCGCACGTTCCCCGCAAACACCCCGCGCACGGATGCAACGGATGACGTCGGAGTGACTGAATGTCATTTGGGGCGTGAGTGAAATTCTGTTTCCACAGTCCGTGTTCACTGCGGAGCGGGACTCGGTGAGTATCCCTCCACTCTTTCGCTTACTACTACTAATAATTACTATTGATCGTGTATTTCCCAGTATATTTGTATGTCCATTTTTATTTTCAGCATTTTGTATCCGTTTGCGGAGATTCTTTTTGAGCTAAACCAATTACTAATACGGGGTTTCCTGCGATAATAAGCTCGCTGCTTTCCTTTTTTCCGTGGTTTTACGGACTGTCGACTAGTTTCTCGGGTCATCTTAGCCGTTTACTTATGTGTTTTCGCATATTTATCCAATTACTGGGATATTTGTGGTTAGCATCGAATCCTTGTGTGCGGCTGCTCGAAGCATGTTCCCTAATATTATGGAGTAGGCCCGCTAGTTAGCTAGCTAGCCGCGTTAGGAAGTAAACATTATGTAAACGAGACACCAAATTAGGAATTCATTGTTTAACCTACGCGTTAAACTAATTCGTATTTTTAGTGTACTTTTATTTCTTTTTCGCCCGTAGACATGCTGATCATTTCACGTTTTCAAATTTAGGTTGGTTTCATTGTTTGACTTGCCGGCTCATATTTCGTTTTTTCAACTTTTTGTTTTAAATGTTGTTAAATATAACACTTGACGCAGGTTAAACGGTGTATATATACAGTGTTCATTTTAGACATTTCTGCACTTAAAAAACGTCCGTGTGTTTTTGATTAATTTTCCGAGGCGAGCTTCATATAAGCAGACAAAGAGCCATGGCTGGTCTGCTACACCGGGCCTTCCCCTCGTCCTTCATCCTCTTCCTCGGAGCCATACGCGCCCCCTCCCTGTTACCGTGTTCAGCTCACCCAGCCTACATCACACCGTGTCCGTACAACCCATACGGCCTGGTTGCTTGGACCTTTAGCGGCGAGGAAGCCCCTTGATAATGTGGACAAAAGAGCCGCCGGAATCGCCCTTTTCAGATATGTGTGTGCTGGATTAGTCCTGTATTTAAAATGATTTTGTGGTCTAGGTGGAGAGTAAAAGATCCTTGCAGATAAAGCACCGTCAGTGTTGTAAACTGCGGGTAACCATTTTGAGTGGATAGATCTTAATTGTGGGCAAGTGCACTTAGTAGCTTAACGTATTTCTTGCAGGTTCCGGGCTGTCTACCTGACCTGATGTTTTTCTACTGTTTATATGTCTTGAATTAAAAGAATCTTGAAATTACAATTAGTTAGCCATTAATGTATTTCTGCCTATCACTGAGGGGTCAGTGGAGGTCAGGGATGCCAAATTGGTTTAGAAACTTCTGCATAAAAAAAACTAGCTGCAGTTCTGTCGTGTTAAATTCTATGATTCCTTTATACAAAAAATCTGCACAGATATGCAAAGTTCAGTATTTAATGATGAAAACCATCTGAAAGCAAACGTTGAAAAGAGCAACACCATTATTAGCCACTTGGATCTAAGTGACTTGCGTTTTGCCTTTTCTGCAATTTTTATGTAGATGCAGGTGAGGCATAACCTAGCAGTTAAAACATAACACGTCACCTTTATACTAAATAATCATGGGTGATAGTTTGTAGAGTAAACTTGAGCCGCAATATCATACGAAACAACACCGCCACCCCAAACCAATGGAAGATGAACAGGTTTTTTTTGTTAGTTATTGGGGATCACAAATCACATTATATTTATATTTTAGCTATACGACCCACAACATGTTTGTAATTCATTATTGAACTGAAAAGTACCTACTCCAGAATAGGGACTAAAACCAGGTTCAGGATCTGTCTCCAAGAAACTGTAGTCAGGTTGAGTTCCTGCAGTGGAAACCCAACACAAGTTCCAGGTCCCTGCAGTGGGAAAGAACCTGTACATAGTACAGGAAGCATTTCAACATGTCTTTTTTCCTTCTAAAAGGGTTTGTTCATTACAGAACCAATGACCGGAATAGTCTGATATCTTCCATCCATCAGTCAAGATGTCAAGTAAGAAATCATTTCAGCACATGCTATTTTTAAATGTATCAAAAAAACCCACCATTTTTACTGTACATATGGGTGTGTCTCCCTTTTGTGTGTGTGTGTGTGTGTATGTATGTACGTACGTGTGTGTGTGTGTTTGCGTCTCCCACCATCTTTCTTAGTGTCTACCTGGTATTGTATCTTGCTCATAAAAAAACAAGGTCTGTCACTCTGTATTTTAAAAATTAATGTTGATCATCAGTGTGTTATATTAAAAATATTCTTCTGTGACTTGACTACATGGGAATATGAAAAATGTCAATATGAACGTTAATACTGTACTTTACATGAGTAATTAGTTTTCATACTTCTACATTGGAATGCTTTAGTGGTGATATGTCTGTTCTGCCTTGCATGGGATTCAAACCAGCAAACGTCTAATTGCAGGGACAGGGGCCTAATTGGCTGACCCACGCAGAGCCCATTTGCTGTTTTTTATTTATCTTATTGCTGTAAACAGAAGGGCTTCAGTTTCATGAACATGTGATTTAGCTTGAAATACTCTGGAGATCTCGATTGCTAATTTAAGAATGAGCTGTTTTTTTTTTTCACTGAAGTTAGGACAAAAATATTGTATTTCATCTTAATACAGAAATAATTATTTCTGCATATTTGATTTAGCTCATTACAGCATAATTATCTTTTGAAATAGCTGGAATTGCTCGATTTGCATTTTTGTGTGTGAAATTGATACAGAAAAAACTTCAGTCTTCTGAACACAAGAACATTTTTGACCTGTCTTCGGTGTTTTAAACAGTCAATAACTTAAGCAGTTTTAAGATGGTAACATTTGTAATTCCCATGAAAAGTAATTGCATTCTCATAGTACCTGTGCACTTCTGCATACCAGGAATAATGTGCGTTTGAAGGAATTTCCGTAGATTTACAGCTCTGTAGATTACATTTTAATATTATGGATTGCCACTGATTGTACTGAACATACTGGGATCCACATTTGGAAAGCTAAATCTCTTTTCTCATGCAGTGTTAGCCCCTTCTCCTGTAGTTAAGCTTACTTAAGGCCTTCTTGATATGTCATTAATATCTAAACAATTTTCCTTGCAGAAAGGCCATCATACGCACCTCCCCCTGCCCCTGCCCCCACAACAGTAAGTATCAGACATTGCAGTCAAGATGAATAGTTTTAGTAGCATCTGCTCACTCTCTAAAATGGAGTTGTTATAACTACCCCTTCCATTATACGAAGACATAAATAATACACAATCTTAGGATATTTCCGTGCAAGGATTGTGAATTTAAACTGTATCATTGCTGCTTTCAATATTTGCTTGTTGCTTTTGCATGACTGTATGCAAACATTTTATTCTTTTTTTTTTTGGTTTGTTGCTTTTTCATTAGTTTTTGTTTGATTTGTTTACCTTCTCTGTTTCATTTCTCATTCGTATTTTTGTCTCATTTGTTTCCATCAGCAAATGCCCAACACCCCAGGGTTTGTGGGATACAACCCATACAGCCATCTGGCCTACAACAACTACAGGCTGGGAGGGAACCCAGGCAGCAACAGCCGGGTAACGGTAGGACCAATGGAGGGAAAAATAAAATGAGGAAGAATCCCCAAACTAGGCCAAGCGAGCTATAACCCACAGACCTTTATGCCCCCAAGCCAGTAAAACCTAAGCTACATGAGAAAACTTGCAAAATGACTCGTTTTCAGTAATCAGTTTTAAATGAATTGGCTGTTTTTTTTTTTTTAGCAGTTTTTCCATATATTTTAGAAATTGTTTTTATGGAAGTTTTGAATTTAGTGGTTATTGCAGAAGTCTCTTGTACTGTTAACGCCAACACCATGCGGAAACAGTTTCCAGACCCCTCCATTGCCCTTATCCTGGTGCATAATCTGTCCAGTGTCTGTCTGTACCTGTGTGACTTCTGCCTCTGGGCTCCAGTACCACAGATAGCCCAAGCAACCCCATGCCCTGTGTGTTTGTGGCATCTTAAGCTTGTTGCTTGGACTGATTTTGGCTGCATCATGCAGTTCCACCCCTGCATGTAGATAGTGGTTGGAACTGGTTTATTAAACCTGTGTGCCATGAGTGTATTGAGGATATGCATATTTTTTTCCCTCTTGCAACACACAGGATATTAAAGTAAGCTTTGATGCCAGTTGGGCTATGGTAGTGCTTTTAAATTTTTCCAAAGGAATCCATTTTTTTCGCCAAGGAAATCTTTACAGGCAGCTATTTTCAGTGCCCTTTATCATCTCATCCACATTTTTCCCCCCATAATATACTAATTTATCATCTGACATTCTGTTCTGTTGTTGTACTAGATACGTTCACCTAACTAGTACTTTTTGGGGTTTTTTTTTTGGTAGAACTCATCAGGAATTGCGATTCCAAAGCCACCAAAGCCCCCAGACAAGCCGCTGATGCCGTATATGCGATACAGCAGAAAAGTAAGTGTTTCACATGAGATTTGTTCATCTTTCTTGGAGGACAACTTGAAATGCCAATTGTAAACAGTCTCCTGAAATTACTGGTACAAACCACAGAGCCACCAGCACCTGCTTGCCTCATGGGAAGTGGGCACAGTGTTCTGGTTGGGTCTGGTTGTAAATGTACTGTTCCATACAGTGATACATCACACAATACTAAATCCGAATGGATCATGAGTGTTTTGCTCTGATCCAGTTTTCTAAGAGGCTTAGCTTTTTGTGATTTTGATTTTAAAAGACTCAAAACAAGGATGTTAACTTTTAGGTAAATTATTCATTGGCATTTTGTATTTACCCCCAAGTTTCACATGTAACCTGTTTCAGACAGAATTGACTATTGATTTGTTTAGAACAGATTAATCGAGCAAATTTGAAATAAACTGAAATACTGAAGTTCCTCCATGATTCTGGTGACACTGTGTTAGAGAAGCATGGGGGATTTGCAAAAAGTATTTGAGTGGGATTCATAAGCCTCTTATAAAAACTGTTGAATTACTTGTATGTAGTCTTTAAATTTACGGAATGTTCGTGGGCCGAAGTGAAGGTGTAACGTGGACCAGATCTGGGCTGTGGATTGCTGATAAAAGACCCTGATGGTGTACTGCATTTTTCGTATTTTCTGCTTTCTTGCAGCTTATTTGCAAAACATGGCATTCATACAACTTAACATGTAATTGGTTTCAGCCATGTTGCTTTGTTGTAGGAGCTTTGAAAAGTCCCCAGGCCTGCTAGGTTAGATTCATCCGTAATTGCAATGTGATCATGAGGCAAAATTTTCAGGGATAAAAATACACTGAAATTTGAACATGATTGCTCCCATAAACACCGATACTGATCATGCAAGATGGCCTGTATCAGTAATCGGCATCTGTAAACCAGTCGATTGATCAGATTGTACATGAATTAAATATCCATGAAGGTAGGTGTGTAGCTTTAAGTACTTTTGTTACCCTGAAGTTTTTTTTCCTGATTCCTCTACTGGGGATTCAAAGAACTAGATGAAGCCATTTGACCTCCTCTGGTTTGTGACCTCCCTGCTCGGCATTATCGACCCCCCCACCCCACCCCACGTCCATGTCTGGTTCTCATCACCAGGTTTGGGACCAAGTAAAAGCCTCCAATCCAGATCTGAAGCTATGGGAAATTGGGAAGATTATCGGTGGCATGTGGAGAGACCTCACTGATGAGGAGAAACAGGAATACTTGAATGAATACGAAGCAGAGAAGGTTGGTTTTACAGGCTGTTGGCGGGTTGGTTTGACTTGGGGGTGGGTACCCCACAGAAATGACCAGGGCTGTGTCTCGTGCAGTCGCCTGTCCCTCCAGTCAACATCGCTGTTCAGTAGAATAGTCAAGTTCTTTCAAATTGTGGATTAAATCATTTTCTTAAGAGGTCACAAAAAAACACACCGTTCTCCCAAAGTTTGAGGAAGTTTCCCTTTGTGTCTCTGTTAATGACACTGTTTAAAAAAAGAGAGTTAGTGAGAACACGATGGACTTCAGTACGGAGTTCAGTCATGCTTTTTTACCCTGCACCATGGCTTTTATTTGGTTTATGATGCTGGGGGTACATCAACATTAAGGGCATTTCCATAGCAGGATTTTAATCTCCAGTGACGCTGTTGGGTGGGCGGGGGAGTACTGGTGTGCCGGACTGTTTCTTTGGAAACTGAGTGTAGCTTGAGCCTAAAACCTGCTATGGAAAGCACTGCAGATGTTAAGACGCATCACATTCTGTATGGTGTCCTCAAGAATTTTGTCCAGCTTGCATGATTTGTCTGTCGCCGTGTGTTCCATGTATTTATGTGCTTTGGTATTGTTTCTGATTGCATTGTCACTCACCTTTTCAGATAGAGTACAATGAGAACATGAAAGCCTACCACAACTCCCCGGCCTATCTGGCCTATGTCAACGCTAAGAGTCGTGCCGAGGCTGCTCTGGAGGAGGAGAGCCGGCAGCGCCAATCTCGCCTTGACAAAGGGGAGCCCTATATGAGTATCCAGCCTGCTGAGGACCCCGATGGTAAGCATATAAGGAAGTCAGCTCTTCAGCTTCAGTTGCTTCTATAATATATATATATAATAGAAAGTACTAGGTTATTGCAGGTTTTGCGCATAAAGTATCAGTGATTCAACTTATCTGATAATGTAAAAACACTGCCGTTTTACAGGTTTAGCAGGGCATACAATAAGGTTACTCTGCAAATACTTTAAAGTAGGGGTTCTTTTTTTCCCCACACATGCATATAGGCAGGGGTGTGCATGACTGGTAGGCAATATTCATTTGCTGATATGCGGTTTGATTGCTTTCAGGTAAGCGGAAAGTGGAGACTTGCATAAAATCCTTTTTAGTCTGTGTGCGGATTACATAGTTCAGTCATTTTGTTAGAGATCAGACGTCTGAAGCTGTGGCTTGAGTCCTTGGTTCCTCAATCGTTAAAGTACACTATTGTATCTGCCCCTCTTCCTTTTGTATTGCCTCTTTTGCAGCAAATGTGGTTCTAAACACGTGTTATAATTTTCACTGAGCTTATCATAATATTCGGAAGCAATATTCATTTATGCTCCTGATGTTCAGAAGCACTTCTCTAGAGTAAGGAACCCTAATGGAATTTCCTAGGAGTCTTATCATGAGGATAAAAAAGTACAGGATGCCAAAATGCTGTGTCTGCCAGCTTGGGTTGTAAATTGCCACGCAGTGTAGGGCAACAGTGTGAAGTACGCTATTAGGCTAGCATGATGTCTAAAGAAAATATTAGGTGCTTTTACTGTTGTTACTTCGGGGTATCAAAATGAATACAATTAAATTTAATATGATCAAAGAAATAATGCTATATAACTTAAAGAGAATGCATTAACACGACAGCATTAATCTTTCCAGGGCTCCAGATGGTTCCCAAAATAGTGACCACTCTACCTAAATTCATTTTCTGCCTGTCATCGAAAAATTAGTCGCCAGTCACAAATGTCCCACATAAGTGAGAAAGGGCGAACCATTGCGAAGGCAGGCACAGAAGCAGCTGTTTTAACTCTGTGCTGATCGCTCATCTCCCGCATCTGCCTATTCTGCGTCTGTGAAGTGATTAAACCATGAACGAATATAGGAAAGCAGTGGGCTAGCTAGCTAAGGAAATTGTAAAAAATAACAAAACAGATTAGCCTAAATTCATTCGTTTTAGATTTTAGTTTTGTACGTTTAATTTTAGCTTTGTACGTTTTAATGTGTTCATCAAATTAGTCTGTCGCTTGTGTGTTCCTATTAAGACAAGCTGTGACATTCTGGGCCAGCTGTAAGCGTGAGAGGGAGGCCTGCATACCACCAACCTAAGGGGCATTACAGTAGTCAGATTGGGACGAGATAAAAGCGTGTATAATCCTATCAAAATCATTAAACAATAAAAAGGACTTGACCTTGGATATGCGCATCAGTTGAAAAAAATAGCTTACATTACTGAGTTCATCAGATAATCCGTAAGACAACTGCTATATCTTTAGCTGTGGTGCTGCTGCCTTTGAATATTGATCAAGATCTAAATATCAGCTGGCAATTCTGTCCCATATTAATGCATTAGACTGATGCCAGCGTCATGATTTTTTTTTGAGCATCTGCTGATGTCATGTTAATCAGTATAGCTCTAAAGAGATGTTATATTTCTCTTGCATGTAATTAATGCTTAAATGCCTGCACACCCAGCAAAAGTCCCACCCTGTACACAGCGTGTAGTGTGGTCAAGCCGTTGCAGGTATGGCTGAACTTTCATGTGTATTTTTAAACATGCTGCTTATATTTTTGAAAATAGTGTGTGCTTTTTGTATGTGGTAGTTTTTTACCTTGTGGATCTTCCATCTATTAAAATTAAAATTTTTAACAAAGAAAGCATTACATTTTAAATTATATTTGTGACATGGTTCAGAAAACCTCTATGAAAACCACTGACAGATGAACACTCTGTCTGGTATTTGTATTTGTTTTTGGTTTCACCTTGGCTTGCCCTGGGGCTGTGTGGTGCCGACTGTCTGTTCAGGTTTGTATTAAGAAATCTTGAGTATCTAAACTCCACATTCTTTTATACTTCGCATACGTGCTCTGAAATCCATTTTATGTCTGTACAATTACTATGTTAAATTGCTTTCTAATTATACCTTAAAATACACCTGGTGGAACGTGCATTTTCAAACACATACACTTTATACAGGAGTTAGGCAGTGAAACACCTTGTTTTAGACCACAATAATTTATTAGTATGGTATAGGGCCTCCTTTTGCCAACAATACTGCAGCAGTTCTTTTTTGGAATGACAGATGCAAGTCCTGCACAATCCTGAGTCATTTTTTAAGCAGAACAGTGGCCAGGTCACTATGTGATGCTAGTGAAAGAAAACATTTCCTGACTCCAAAGGCCAATGTTCAGATCTGGTGACTGTACAGGTTTTATGTTTTTTGGATACACTCTGGGTTAGTGCCCAGGCATCCCTTTCAGACAGCTTCCTCTTGTGCCCACAGTTACTCCTGTTGTATATGGTCCATCCTTTGCGGTGGTATAACAACTTTTCCCTGGATACCGTAGCTTTCGAAAGACCACAAAGGCTTGCTGTCTGGGTCACTGATGCGCCATAGGTATGCGCACCCACAACTTGTCCTCTTTTGTACTCTGTCTCCCATTATGTTGTGTGAATTGCAGTATTTTATATACAGCTGCGCTATTGCGCCGTTTCAAGCTTCACACTCTGCTGTTACTGATGGAGTGTGCAGTCAGTGAAAATTGACCACCGGGCCTTACATAAAAAGCCGTGAAACCTCAAACACTATTTTGGCCAGTGTTTCTGTGTAATAGTCCAACCTCTATACATGCAGAAAGTCAGGGGTCCCCAGCAGAACTACCTGACCAGGACACTCGTCTGATTGGTAACCGTTCTTTGCTTAATGTGGTAGATGTGTCGTTTTTAGCAGTAGTGGCTAGCACTTGGTTTGGAATAATACATCACCACTTGCACTGCTGTCTAGGGCTGGTGCTAACAACCGTTTTTCTATTAATTAATCTGTCATTCCTTTACCGATTCGACGATTAATCTAAATTATTTTCTTCCTGAAAATTTTATTTTATTTTGACAAGAACAAAATTCTTGTCATCACAGGGCTTCAGATAACGGATGCCGGCGTTCCGGCACTATATGTGCCTTACTCACACCCACAATTCGACAAACAGATTAGTAGTATGCCTAAAATATTAATGATGTGTGTAGTGATGCCCAATAGTTATAACAATCTGTAGAATAAGCCCAGATTTTAGCCTAAACATTTTCTCAAACACTTATTCAATGGGAATTCTACAGTAGCAGACAACTATGGCTTTAATTAAATTATTTAGCAGCTATAAGAACAACAGACATTACAGAGCTCTGTGTACTAATGGCAATTTAATAAACAAGAACAGACAACATTTAAGGTGGTTTTGCCTCTTCTGACAATCCATCATCCAGAATAGTACCTGTGCTCATGCATAGCGCTAGTGCCACCGTGGTATGCCATTGAAATTTTGCACAGTGTAAACCATTTTTTTGTTTTAATTTTAAGTACTTAATTATTTAGTGAGATTAAAGGGAAACTGTTGCCTGAAATGAAATGAAGCATTTTCGAAGTCAAAAAAGGTAATTTCTTACAATAATTAAAAAAAATTATGTGGCAATTTAAAATAGATGTCAGTGTATTCAGCATGGACCTGATCAAGTACATCGAATAATCACGACAGCCCTAGTACCGTGTAAGCTTGTTTGGACTATGCAGTTGATCGCATTATTATTTTATCAGCAATGCATTCTAAACTTTCTGTCCAAACAACTAATACTACTAACATTTACACCTCTATTGGTGGCATATTTGGTTGCTTACAGAATATTTCTAAATGAAGAGGGTGGAAAGCAGACAAGGTCCTTACCGTAACACATCAAGTTTCTCTCATTTAAAGTAGTTTGACAACAGACTTGCATTGTGTGATGCTGCGTTCCATTTGAACTCGCAACTTGGAAATTGATTTTCTAGTTTGAAATTTCAACTGGAATGCCTCATGAAGTAGGAATTATGACTCGAAGTAAGGCATCTACACAACCCTGACCTCAGAATTCAAGGTGGCTGTGCTGTTTGTCAGTAGAAGTTAAAGCTGTAATTTTATACTCTTTCTTAGCACTTGCGTCTTATTTGTGGCTGATTAAATCGGTCATATGCACAGTACTCTCCATCTGCTATCTGTGGACATGTTGCTTTGGTGTTTTTATGACAGAATACCACATAATGTGATATTGCTAACAATGGCTAACCAGGCTAGAACTGGGACCTGTTTCAGAAAACAGGACTTCTTGCTTAGCTGGACAACGTGTTGGATATAAGGTAGTCCGGGCTAAATGTGAGCGAATGAAGATAGAGGCCATTTAAACTGGAACACAATAATTATGAGCAGGACTGTAAATGAAATAGTCCATGTTCCACATTTTGCATGTTGCCCAAATCATTAAAGGTGTTAACCCCCTTTTCCTGCTTGATGGCTGTTATTGATCCAGGTAAAGACTCATGACTGAAAGATAGATGGATGCACTTTTTTTATTTACTAAGACTGCCCCATCTCCTGCTGTGTCCTTCGTCCCTTGTTGCATGATAGTCTGATACTTGACAACACTTTTGAGAGAGGACAATTAGGTTATTTTTTGTAACATGATTGAAGACATGTTAATATGTAAATACACACTGCCTGCCCAAAAAAAAGTCTCACACTTTAATATTTTGCTGGACCGCTTTTAACTAACCTGATTGTGGTGCACATTGGTTAATGCATTGTTTCTATGTGCTTTATGCAGCATCTCAACTTTTTTTCATCCGGATTTGTATTAATTTCTCGTCAAGGTCTTGTATTCAAGATAGATGAGTTGAACCACTCTGTAAAGTTTTCTTCAGCACATCTCAAAGGCTTTCAATGGGCTTAAGGTCAAAACGCTGCCCAATTCACGTGTGAAAATGATTCCTTGCGTTCCCTAAACCACTCTTTCACAATTCGATCCCTATGAATCTTGGCATTATCATCCCAGAATATGCGCATACCTTTAGGAAAGAATAAATCCATTGATGGGATAACCTGCCCATTCAGTAGATTCAGGTATTCAACTGACTTCATCATATTGTTGCATAACGTTGCTAAGCTTTAATAAAGATACTGTCACTGGCTTTTAAGTACCTGCTGATTTAAATTCAAGCGATGACTGACTTTTTTTTTTGGCCAGGCAGTGTATTGTTTGAGACAAAATTTTGGTTTTATTTATATTTTATTTCATGATAAAGTTCATATAAAGCCATTTAAGAATTGCAAAGTTCCGCATTACAAGATCTAAATCTGTCTTTAAAGACTATGTTCAAACCTAATGGCATGCTATAATGACAGCTTTATAGACGTTTACTTTAGCAATCTAGAGTGGATAGAGCAGGGGTCTCCAACTCTGGTCCTGGAGAGCTACCGCCCTGGGATAGAGGTACACTAATCTGTGCATGCATTTGCAGGTGTAGACTATGACTTAACCTGTTAGTTAGTTACATTTGACTGTGTGAAGCAGGTTTAGTCGACAAAATATCCTGTAATTTTCATTGACTAAAACTAGATTTAAAAAAAATGTGAAATTCATGACTAAAACTAAGTTTCATTTTCATCAAAGGACTAAGACTAAAACTAAATCAAAATGAAGTATGCTGTCAAAATTCACACTGCTTGTCAGTTGGGGGTGCTACAGTACCTCATTGGTTTAATTTATGGTTTAGGGGCAGAAATGATACTGTCTGTATGAGGTCCTTAGGTTTTAAAAGACTTCTGTTTTTGAATAGATGTTTCAGAGGATCAGTAACGCAGTGGTTTCTGAATAAACTCTGGGTTACTTGACAAAAAGCGAGTGGTAAATGAATTTTTTTTTAGATTGCTTCAACCAGTAACATGTTATAAAGACAGATTCTAGCAGTAAATAAGGTTGTTTTTAGTATTTTAGAGGTTTAAATGTGACTTTTTTTCTCAATGGTAAACATTAATATACAGATTTAAAGTTAAAATGCTAGTTTGTATAAATTTATATATACCATTTAGTTGCATTGTAAAAGTGATTAAATTGATATCCTGTTAAAATCTTATAGGCCTGCGTTGCTTCAGTCGAATTTAATTTAATAGTATTCAAAGTGAATGGTATCAAAGTGCATCAAGTTATTACACCTTTGTTTTCATATCACATACAGCAGAGGTCACTAACAGGTGGTCCGGGTCCGGACCGAGAAGCTGTTCCATATGGACCCGGACCGATAGCCAAAACAGAAAGTTGTGATTTAAAACCTGACGGGGCGATTGTATTTTAACCGCCGCAGCTTTTGTAGTCTTTTCGGTAGTGGTTTAGCAATGAACAAAAAACGCCTTTGACCGCCAAGCAAGACGTAGTTCGGCGTGTGCAGCCCTTTGTTTGCGCTAATGTGCCATTAGTGTTAATGGTAGCAGCAACCAAAAAGCTGTAATGTTCCTAACAGAGTGGCTGATCTGTCCTGAAATCATAAAGCTGAAAAGTTTTCAAACACAGTATGTATTATATAATGTTGGATAAATAGACGTAGTTTATTGGTGATTTCGTGTTCGTTGAAGTTTACGCTTTTTAAACAACTGTATAAAGTAATGTTAGTTGTTATATAAATCAACTCAGGTGAAAAAAAAATTGTTTTCAGGGTTGCCAAATCTCAAACATCTGGCATGACAGTCACGCTTTCAGGCTAATGCAGTAAATATAAATTATTCCGTTATAAATGTCATGAGGCACGGACCGTGAAGTCGAGTGAACACAGGATGTAATTAGGAAACCACGCTCAGGTACATACAACCAATACACAACGTTAATAACCGGACTCCTAAAGGCGCACAGACACGGATTTTAATACACAGAACTAATGATCCACAGCTAGAAACAGCTGATGACACGGGGATTCCACACGAGGCAGCGAGGGGGGCGTGGCACACAGGAGGATCGGCACGAGCTGGTCTACTTAAATATATATATCACACTACATAGTTATACATTATAATCTTCCAGACCTTTGCTTCAAATATTTTCTATAACTGGACCTTTTTACATTTTAGTTGAATACCCTTGACATACAGCATAGTCTCTCTGTGGACAGAGACAACGGTATGTAATAAACGTTACTGTAGGTTTAATGGCTAGGTGTCCCAGTACTTTTGTCTATATGGTGTATGGTTTAGTGAAGTCTGCAATTCTGAAGAGCAAGGTTGAGTGGCAAAAACCACATGGTACCTGTGGACCTCGGGCCAGACGGTTCACATTGAGAAGTACCCTCTTCAAGACACAAACACTTGACAGGGCTGGGATAGTGGAAAAAAAAAAAACCAAACCATTTCCCTTCAGTGGAATGTGTAGCATTCTAAGTGGGGTTTTTTTTCCCCTTCTGCAAAGAAAAAACAACCACCTACCTGTAACTCAAGGTTTGAGGTACTTTGTCATCAGCAGATGTGTACGCGCACATAGTGTGGTGAGACAATGTTTCTCCGTGGGCCGGGGCGCAAACATGCATAGACATATAACAAAAGTACAGTTCAGTACATTGAACAGTGCAGCAACATGCCAATATAGGGCCATGGGAGATGGGGTATTTCTGTACATGAATATAAAATGAAATGACCAGCATAGTGTGACAGCCACTTAGCTGGGTAACACTTGGTTATAGCAGCAATAGTTTAGAGATTATAATTAAGGTGCTTGTGCAAGTAAAGAGTATAGTGATATTGGTAGGGCGAGGTTCATGAATGTTTAGTGTTAAGAATTCTAATGGCTTGTGGTATAAAGCTATTACACAATATGGTGGAACCAGAATTAACGCTTCGATACTTTTTTGCCAGACTGCAAGAAAGGAAAAAAGATCATTTTGGGGAATTAGTGAGATGTTATCATTGCCCCTTACCAAGATGGCCACCATGATCTACCAGTCACATTTCAGAGCAAAAGTAGTATTTTTATCTGAATGAAATAATGTTTAAATTTCCAAATGGAAGGAGGTTCATTACATGCCTTGTTTATGAATGTAAACATTTTATCCAGCTTGACGAATGTCTGTGTTTACGCGCCTGTACAGTGTTCAGTCCATCCTCTTGACCTTTCTCTGCCCCCCAGTCACTGATCACAGTACATAGCAGGGGTAGCTAATGGCTTCCCTCTTTTTCAGACTATGATGATGGCTTCTCCATGAAACACACCGCCGCTGCCCGCTTTCAGCGTAACCACAGGCTCATCAGTGAGATTCTCAGTGACAGCGTGGTCCCAGATGTACGCTCTGTTGTCACCACTGCCCGTATGCAGGTCTTGAAGCGCCAAGTTCAATCGCTTATGGTGCACCAGGTCTGTTACGAGTCACGCAACTTTTTACTGTACCTTGTATACATTTTTTAATATACCTTGTATACAACTGAATGTAAGGTTTTCCTAAGTTGGTATGCTGTTTGATTCCATCAAGGTTTACCTCTATCTCTGTGTGTCTGTATTGGTAGAATAATATTTTAAATGGAACTTTGAACTCCAAGATCTATCTAATCATGCTTCCTGCATTAATGGTTAATGGTTTGAGGTATTGTTAAACTTTGATTAGTGTCTCTACAACTGATCATGCTATTTTACAATGTTAGCGTAAATGCCATACATTATTCTACATTTGATTTAAAGTATTTATAATTGATATCGACATTCTCTGGGATGGTTTGGGGTATTGTCCATAGCTAAAATATTATGGATTGCTCTGGCTTGAAAGGCATGCCATTTTGACTTGACTTTCTAGTCCAGTAGCCGACCTGATTGTGTTGGTACAGTAATAGAAATCTTTGTTTACAGAGAAAGCTTGAAGCAGAGCTACTGCAGATTGAGGACCGCCATCAGGAGAAAAAAAGGAAATTCCTCGAGACAACGGAGTCTTTCACCAATGAGCTCAAGCGGGTACGGACCTTAACACCTCCGATACTGCATGTCATTGGCCAGTGGCACTTCTGCTGATGTGACCGTGTGTCCAGCTGTGCAGCATGAAGGTGGAGGTGGACATGGAGAAGATCGCAGCAGACATTGCAGCCGCAGAGGAAGCGGCGCGGAAGCGGGCGGAGGAGCGAGAGAAGGAGACGGCGGAGCAGGCCGAGAGGTCAGCCATTGTTCCTGCCTCTGAGGAGGAGCAGCAGGCCGGTGCTCTGCGAACCAAGCAGAGCCAAGAAATGAGTGATGATGGCAGTGAGAAGAAGGAAGAGGAGGATGAAGCTGCTGGTGCTGATGCAGGTCTGGCTCATTTTAAGTTGCCCCTGCATGGGCTTGTTTTTGGGTGTATATGCAAAGAACTAATTAATCAAGGAATTGATCTGCCTTATTGGACACCTGTGCTGTCACAGGGCTTCTACTGTAATCAGTATGATGCAATTTTAGATCCAACAGAAAATATGCTTCCTGCTACCTAAATCACAGACTTCCCTGCTAAAACCAAACCACTCAGCTCAGGGGTTGCCAACACAAGCTATCGGCAGCTCACAGGGAGCCAAAGAGTAGCTTGCATTTAGAAATAGGATTAATTATGTTCATTTCTTTTTTATTGTGCTTATACCCATATACATTGGGGGATTAACTTTGTTTTGGGCCAGTGTGGGACAAAAGTAGTTTCTGAAATGAACTTTGCCCGTGAAAACAGACTTGCGCAAGTTACATTTCAAAATACATTTTCTGAGTTTGCCAACAAGCTATAGCCGAGTGATTTATCCAAGTCATTTAGCTGTCATAGTAAAAAAAAACTGACAGCTCATAAAGATTCTGAATTAACATTTTTTAAAGTTTTTTTTTATTTTTATTTATTAAATACACATTTCTGAGCTCTGGAAGGTATGTGTAATTCACATGCCAAATTTAATAAAAATAAAAAATAGTGATGCAAAAACTTGGAAATTTGTTGAATTAACACAATCAATGTTGCAATATACATTAATTGCAGATCAGTTTGTGTTTTGAATGTGTGAATGTGATTTTAAGCTTTAATTTTAGGTGTGATTAATCATGATTAATTGCAGAAAACTGAGGTTGCTTTAGGCTATTCCCAGCCATATTTTTAAGAAACAGACTAGAACAGTCAAACTTATGTAAATAGAGTGAGAGTGGTAATGGGGTACACGCTAACCTGCCATTTCCTGAGCTGAAAGTGATTCTCTTTAAAGCAGAACCACAGGGGGCTGAAGTATCTGAGAGCCAGCAAACCTCGCGTGAAACTTCCACCACCGAGAGCAAAGATGACGGACCAGAGAGGGCTGAGAGCGTCACCGAGGAAGGGACCAGTGACAGTAACACGGGCTCTGAGAGTGTTCCCCCCGAAGATCCTTCATCGCTGGAGCCAGTTGCTGTGGGGCTGAACAGCAAGCCTGAATGATGTGCATGTGTCTGTGTGTATGTATGTCTGTGTGATTCCTTCCAACTGGTGTATCCCACATTATTCACAAAAATGTGCACATGCCTTTTAGATTGACCATTATTTTCCCTGTAAGCAGTTCAGTAGTTACCCCTCATGTTACAATTGTCTTATTGAAATTCCATAATGTTGATGTTTTTATTTGTGTTACGTGTGTAAATTTACGCTCATTCAATTTTATACAGGCAGAGAATGTCGTCCTGTTGCAAATCAAGTGTTTTGGACCAGGCCTAATGGATTTAACTTGCTACTAAGTTACCTCATCTCCAGAATTTATGAATATAATTAAATTTATTGGTCTTTGATCTAGACTTCTCTGCCTTTTTAAACGTAAAGTAACTTAAAGTAGTATTTGTGGGCTAGTACATTTTGGTATTTCCAAATGTCATTGGGTTGACCGTCAAGTGTAATGGTGCATATTTACTACAGTACATTTTTTATGCTTGTCAATTAAACCCATGATAACTTCAAATAAAGTAGTTTTTGACAACTGTTGTTCTTAGACCTGTTTTTCTGTTGCAACAGGAGCTCACTGCAGAACTGTTTACTTCGACAAATGGCTGCTTCTTGATTGCAGTTGTAAAATTGGTTTTGTTCGCAGCTAAGGAAGTGGTTACATGAAAGGGATCTTGTGAACTCGTGCTTTGTCTGAGTGCGTTCTGAGTCTGAACACATTTCCTGTTTTTTGATATAACTTGTTTCCCTGAAAACTAAAGCTGAAGTTAATCAAAACAGCTCTAGCAAGTTCAGAAAATAATTTTTTGAAGTGTTATTTTCCCAGTTTTATCATATCACTTTATGCATAGTGAGATATTCTACTTAACTTGGAAATGCGATCGTCGTTTCTTTTCAGTTTGCCCTTTCATGCAAGCAGAATCTGAGAGATTTTACCATAACCACATCTGCTTTACCTGCCATGTGGGCTGTTTTTTTTTTTTTAATAACTGTTCAAGACCTCAGTATGCCGTAAGTAAAGTTCACCTGCTAGAGGAAAGGTGTGCAAATGAACCAGTTGTGAGCAGCCAAATTTTGTGTGTTCGTGGAATAAATTTTATGAACTTCATTCTGCTTTTCAGATGTGTATTCGATGTATATCTTTTCTTCCCTGATATAAAAACAAAAAAAATAATTTACCTCCAAACAAGTAGTTAATCTTATGTGACATGCAGCTGCTAATTTTCTATGTAGTCCAGTATGTTTCATATACAGTCAGTTATTAGGATGTGTTTTGGAGGAATATTGTGTATATAATGGCCACAGCTCCACACAGTCATATCAGCAATGGAGGCTTGGAATATCTCCCATTCTAACTCAATGTCTCCAGCCTCCCTTGGGATGCCAAAGGTTTGAGTTGAAGATCTCCCAGAAAGGGGCCTCTGCCAGATGTTCCTGGCATGTCCTCACTATTGATGTGGGTCTACCAGGTTCACACAGCATCTTCCCCTGTCATCACCATGTGGTGATCAGCTGACATCTTCATTCCTCTCTTCACCTGAGTGTCCAAGATTGCGATTGTAGATTTGATGATACAATTACAAAATTATCAAGCTGCACACCCTGATGTGGTCCTTTTGGCTTCATCGGGCTATGATCAGGGCCTGTTCCAAAAAGAAAGATTAACAAATCCTGTATCCTGAGGTCAGGCTGGGCAAATCCAAAAGCCCATATTATGGATAATGCAGTTCCAGAACGGCTTATTTCGATTAGCTGTCAATCCGGATAAGTTGATTCAAAATAATGGCTGTTCCCAGCGATATATAAAAAAGCATCACTAGTCAATCACTTAATAAAATTATATAATCATCACACAATATATCATACAATATATTGTAGCACTAGCCCAATCATTTACTGTATCACCCAATAGCCATCAGGAAGAAAGCAGTGGCCTGTAGAATGAAAGATGGGCCCCCAATCCAGCTGATTAACAGCAGCTCAGTCAAAATACAGGGAGACCCTTCATGGAACCTAGGGGCCGCCTAAGGGTACCGTATTTTCCGCACTATAACGCGCACTGCATTATAAGGTGCACCGTCAATCAGTGGTCTATTTTCAAACTTTTTCCACATACAAGGCGCACCGGACTTTAAGGCGCTTTAAGCAAAACAAAACAGTGAGATAAGCCAGTCAACGAAAATTTATTTTACATCATGTGTTCACAATGACTGTCAACATTGTTCAAACGTTTATGAGCGTCTTCACTAATCTTTAACACGTAAAAAAACAAGAGTCTTATACCGCTAAATCAAAAGTCAGCCTATTAATAATAACTCAAAATTGAACACTTGTAATACGGTCCTATACCACTAAATCAAAAGTCAGCGTATTCATAATAACTCTTGAAATTGTTAATTTAAACTCAAAATTGAACACTTGTAATACGGTCCTATACCACTAAATCAAAAGTCAGCGTATTCATAATAACTCTTGAAATTGTTAATTTATAACACGTGAAGCACTACACAATACACTCACTTTTCAATACTAAAACATTCAAATCGCTTCGAGTTCAGTATGCACAACAGAAATTAATCCACGTTTAAAGCGCACTGGATTATAAGTGGTACTGTTATTTTTTAAGAAAATCAAAGGCTTTTTATTGCGCCTTATAGTGCGGAAAATACGGTATATCATCTGAGGCAACCACCTCTAAGGATACAGCCACCTATGTGAAAGGTACTATCTCATATTGAAAATACCGAGTAAATACAGAGTAGTTCCTCTGAAAATATTTAATGTATACATCATATTGTGTTCATAGTCTCTGAAGGGACCCTTAAGCTGGTGGACATCCCCCTACAAGTGAATGTTCACATCCACAGTTTCCTTTGTACACATTGTAGACAAAAACCTTACTTTTGTGCTACAATATGATAATGATAAGGACGGTGAAGAATATGATGCAGAGACCCACCCTGCTGTACCTCCTATCATTTCTGCTGAGATATGCAAACATGTTCTACAGGAAAATGCACTGCAGTGTAGACTGGCCTGGGAACGCTTTGGTATTCCTGCGGTGGACCTGGAGGAGGTGACTGATGAGAGGGAAGTCTAGGTGTCCATGCTTTTGTTCAAACTGCAGAGTAAATTCATATTCATTTTATTTAAGCACTTCAACTGAAGGGAGGGAAAAATAGCATTTTTAATTTCTCGGGATGTGATATGAAAGTAAAAAAATAGAAGGGGAAATTCATTCTTATAAAAACAGATGCTTATTTTACTTGGAGAGAAGGATGTAAATGAACTGGAGTAATTTTATCAGATGTTGGAACTTTCCAGGATGGAATATATTATTGGCACCGTTGCATTTTAGGTTTATCGTGTATAAATGTCTTCAGAAAGGTACCAATGATTCATCATTATGATATTTTAAATGGATGAAGTTAAACAACCAATATGAGATGAGTTTTATCTTTTATGTTGAAAAGATATTTAGAAAAAGAAAATATCAGCCTTCTCTAATATTTGGTTGCACATCCCCTGAGAATGATTCAATTTGATTTATTTTTTATATAGCACCTTTCACAACAGTCTCCCCAAGGCGCTTTAAATGGGTGTGTTGTGATACATTCCTACATCATTTACACAGAATTCAAAAACAATGAAAAGGGAGGACAAAGAAATGAAAGAAAGAAATCCAGAAGACAACCAGAAAGCAAAAACTCCCAAATAGGAAGAAAAAAAACCTCTGGAGGTCCAAGGTCAACTGCCTGCCCAACCCCTCTGGGCATGTTACTACCCAGAGTTCATGACCATAGGAACGGAGATCGACCGGTAAATTGAGAGCTTTGCCTACTGGCTCAGCTCTCTCTTCACCATAACAGAATGGTACAGTGTCCACATTACTGCTAACACTGCACCAATCTATCTCCCTCTCCCTGATTCCCTCACTTGTGAACAAGACCCCAAGATACTTACACTCCTCTGCTTGAGGCAGCAACTCAACACCCCACCACGAGAGGGCAATCCACCCTTTTCTGGTCAAGAACCATGGCCTCAGACTTGGAGGTGCTGATCCTCATCCCAGCCGCCCCACACTCAGCTGCAAACCGCCCCGTGCATGTCGCAGGTCACTGGCCGATGACGGCAACAGGACCACATCATCCACAAAAAGTAAATGCCCCTCTGCCCCTTAGCTATGCCTAGAAATTCTGGCCTTAAAAATTATGGACTGAATTGTGAACCGAATTATGAACTGAAAGGCAGCCCAGATGAAGTCCAACACCCATGGAGAATGAGTCCAACTTACTGCTGGCAGTGCTAACCTAGCTTTCGCTTCATTTGTACATGGACCTGATGGCCTGCAATAACGGACCCCATATAAGACCGCCTGAGGGACAGAATCATATGCCTTTTCAAGACCACAAAAAAAATGTAGACTGGTTTGGCAAGCTCAGATGAACCCTCCAGTATCTTTGTGAGGTTGAAAAGTTGGTCCAGTGCTCCGCAACCGGGACAGAAGCCACATTGTTCCTTCAGAATCCGAGGTTCCACCAAGGGACAGACCCTCCTGTCCAGTACCCAGGCAAAGACCTTCCCAGGGAGGCTGAGGAGTGCAGTTGGAACACATCCTCCGGTCTCCTTTCTCAAAGATTGGGACCACCACCCCAGTCTGCCAAACAAAAGCGTTTCAAAGGGCTGGTGTCACGTTCGGGCTCGGGCGAGCAGGGAAATAGGCGATCGGAGCCAGGAAGTCAGGGAAACTGGGTTTAATTGCACGAACGGACTGACAGGTACGGACATCGACGGACAATACAATGCCGGATCTGGCAGACATGGGGAGACGTGGACTAATATACACAGGACTAGGTAAACGGAACAGGCAACAGGTGA